ACCACAAATTAAAAAATTAAAATGGATAAATTTGTCAATAAAATTAAAAAATTCTAATCCACTAGCTGTTTGGTACAAAAAGGTACATAAACTAGCTTTTTCAATCCGCTAGTGATTTGGACCCTAACCGCTATCCGCTAGTTTCAAACCGCTAAATAAAAATTTTACCAAACACTTTAGTTGTAGCGGTTTCAAAATATTTAAATTTACCAAACACTTATATTTAGCGATTTAGGTAAAACCGCTAACCGTTACCCCAAAACCACTATACCAAACGGGACCTAAAAGTAGCAGCTAATCAGCTTAAAAATTTCACGCCTAGTAACCAGAAGGATGTAAAGGATATTTCCTGGAAGACAAACATGATTTAGAAGGATCACTTAGAGACATTTGTATATTTACTATAAGTACTCAAAAAAAGAGAACTCACGTTATTAATTAAGTAGTTACTAATTAATTCGATAAAAGCAAACAATTGGACAAATAATTGATAAAAAAAGGTAATCTGAAAATGAAGAATCTAACAATTTGCTCTAAAATAATTTTAAACTGATGAATATTTTAACTAGAATGAAGATTCTTTCTTACAAGGACATGCATCTGAAAAAAAAAAGGTAAATATTTTCATTTTATATCTTGAAGAGAACATAACTGAATCATGATCAAAGATCTATTTGGTATACTTACAGGTTTCACTGAAGAATTTGTAGAAAAAGGACCCTGACTGATAACCAAATTAGTTGACTAAGCCAAGAAAATTAGAAGTAGCAGCAAATCAGTTCAATTGCAGGGGTAATTCTCTGAGATGATGCAAAGTGAGCCAGCTAAGGAGAAGAGGAGAGAATTTATACAAATTGTTGGAGCTGTGGTGTCAAAGCTGCACAAGAGACAGCAAATGGAAAGAAAGCTGCACAGGTGACAGCAAAATGAAATGAAGAGAGAGCTGCACCAAAGCACAGTAACAGCAAAGTGCAGCAAGGAAGGATCTGGAAGTCCCCTTCCTTTTTTATTTTGTGCGGCTAGCTTCTCACCAAAAAATGGTCCCACCTCATCTGCATTTTTGCCAATGGATTAAAGAGTTTGAGATTATGGGCTTGCAAAGGTTTTTTGGTTTCATGTGGGCTTGACGGGCCAAGGTTATACAAAAATATAAAGGTTAAATGCTAGATTTGGTCCCTCAACTTTAGTGGTTTGCACATTTTTGGTCCCTTGAGAATTTTTTGCACTTTTTTGATCCCTCAACTATACGAAATGCACTCCGTTAGTCCTTCTGTTAATTTCCATC